ACACCAGCTATTTCGGGCGGCGCTCGAGCGCGAAGAAGAGGAATGTTACGTTACGGCTGAAGAAGCGGCCAGGGATTTTTTCATACGGCTCCTGGGCCGAGGCATGCACGATACACACCTCAGTCACGATACCGCGCCGTGATCGGGCGCACTTGTTCCCTTTTTTCCTCCTCACGCGCCCAATATTCTCCTCGACGTGCAAAATGGAAACGATGATCGAGTAGGGAATGAACAAAATAAAATTGCCGCTATTTTTTTTCTCAAGCTTGCCTGCGCTTTTTCGAGCCTTGCGCACGCGGCTCGACGATCGCTCCGCGTCACGTATCGTTTTCGTGAAAAGTGACGATGGTTTCTGTGTGTGTGTGCGTGTGCATGCGATGACCGCGCGGTGGAAAACGCAATGGGCAACGTCACCGCGCGAGCCTGGGGCTTGCATAGTGCCAGAAGCTTCCTCCCTCCTTTGATATCCGATCCGGAGGTGCACCAATGGTACAGAGCGTAAATGCGTGCAACATAGCGTGTGAAAAAAAAGGAAAAAAAATAAATAAATACACCATCCCCTCTGTGTATTATACTCCTCGCTCCCCCACGCGCGCCTTCCAATCTCAGTCCGAAAAGACGATCTCTCACGAGCCACACGTTTCTCTCACTGTTTCACGTCGCTCGGTGTCGCACGGTGCGCCCTTCCCGGCGTTTATTTTCGCGGCCGTCGATCGACAACTGGAAACCTCGTACGATCATTCTCCTCCTCCTCCCCCGTCACGATGGATGTCCGCAGGATGTCCAATTGGCAGGCGTTGAGCGTCGAGGCCGCGCTCCAGCAGCTCAACGGGCCCCAACAGGAGGGCCTGGACCCGGAGAGGTACATCAGGAAGTCCAACACGGTGAGCACGGAGTGACGTGTTGTCAACTTGGGTTTTTATTCCGATTGGTTTTTGCTGATCTTTACTTGCACGGTTTGGGTGGCACGGAGGAATCAATTGGGCGAACGAGTGTAGTTTTATTTATAAAATTGACAGTTTTTGTGAGGCAAAGTGTGTTGGGACGAGTTTGACTTATTGATTCGTGCGATGGGCTTTTTCAGTGTAGGTATACGTCATATAGATACAACAAGCCGCCAGAGCTGCGGGATGGAGCTGTCCGAGTATAAATAGCGATTGGTTTCGACCACTTGAAAAGTACCGAAAAGCGATTGTTGAGCGCGTGTTTTTCTCCCAGAATGCTAATATTACACCGCAAAAAGTGGCAGACTTTCGATGTGTTCGTCAATTTTTTACTAGTGGTATTGGAAAAAAAAACAACTTTTTTTTTGATATTTTATTGTGTGATGAGTTAGAAAAAGAAAATAAGACTTGGTTTGTGACAATGCAGAAAAAATTAGTCAATCGATTACGATTTTTCAGAAATTTTTTCACTTTTTTACACAGGGAACAAAAACTTACTCGAGTAAATATTTTCTTGAAACAATATAATACTTTCGTACATCATCAAGAATATTATCTTGTCTGAGATGAATACTAATTGTTAAAGTAACAAAAAAGAAAAATCTTATTTAAAGAGATTGTTTGCTTAAGAAATTTGTTTTTCAGTGTATCATTTATGTTATACTAATGATTTCACGCGCTTTTAGCTTAAATTGAAAGAAAAATAGACAAAATAAAACGAATTTCGTGAAAACACACGAGTTACACTATTTCCGAAATATTTCGAAAATTTGCATCAACGACGATGATATACGCATAAAAAATACGACCAAAGTTTCACGCCTACAATAAACACAAAGTCAAAGCAAAAAAAAAAATCTAATCCCAAAAGCCCCAAGGGTGAACGCGAAAAATTTCACTTTGGCAGCGATTCAACTTTTCTAATGAGCTCCTCTCTCGAACGTGTCTCTTGGCAATTAGCAGCAATATTATCGCATCGATTATAATCACTCGAAAGGTATGCGCCGCTGATGATTGAGTTCAATAATCGTCAAAATGTTATTTTCAAAACCCACTCCCCACTTTCACGGAGTCAACTTTTTGCACCAAACAAGTAGAAAAAAAAAAAAAAAAAAAAAAAAATCAACTTTCCAGATATCAAGAAGGGCTCGTGAAAATTCCACGCCGAAGTAACCAAAGAAAAGCCACTCTTTTCGGGGATGTCGACGCGCGGGTTCTCGAAAGGCGCAGATATTCGGGCTCGCGCGCGACATATCGATGCCATCGTGTCGAACCCGATCTCTCGACACGGTGCGGAGAGGGAAGGGGATACAAAAAAAAAAAAAAAAGAGTGCTGAAAAGAGAGAAATATTTAATTAATCTCTAAAAAAAAAAAAAAAAAAAAAAAAAAACCAAACAAACAATCAAGGAGGGGATGCAGGTTTCACCATTGGCCGCACGCCCCGAGACTTTATTTATAACTAATTAAAAAGTCGCTGAGTCGGCTGGACGCTGTAAACGCAGTGCGCGCGGGCGTGCCGAGCCATTCTCTCGCTTTTGGTCCCGGAGGCCCGCGAAATACACCGATGCTCGCCATTGTAGTCGGTGCAGCTGATTTACGGCCGATTTCGCGACAAACGTGCAATACACACATACACATTGTACATATACGACAAGGGACTCTTGTGCGTGTATGTGAGCGAGTGCGCGTGCAGCTTTTCGAGTGGGTGCAGCAGAGGGAGAGACAGCAGGGGCTGTGTTAAATTGTCGTGTTACGAGGTGAGAAGGATGAGTAACTGGAATCAGTTGAACGTCGAGCACGCGACCAGCGCGATGTCGCGCGGCGACGATCTGCAGATCCGCACTGGTAGCATTAGGAGGAAAAAGAACACGGTAATTGTGGGCGCGACATTGACACTGTCGGATCGGACGATTGGGTTTTTTTTTTCCCCCCTCATGAATAAAGTTACGGTAATACTTGTCCGGATGCTTGAAAAAAATTGCTTTTCGATGATATGTGCAGTATTTTGAAGGAACGTTTTATGTTGAAAAATATTATTCGAAAATTTTGTACATCATTTAAAGAATAATTAACGTATGTCTGATTTTTTTTTCTTCTACTTTTCGCACGAAAATTAAGTAAAAATTTAACAAAAGCAACTTTTTGAATTGCTATTGGTTACTTGATTAAATTCGCTGTACTCAACAACTTGAAGAAAATTTTACGAATCCCTGACTATAAGTATACTTCATAAGTATCAACGCAATCGACGACTTCCCCTGCACTTTTAATGATTGTCTCCTGTTGGAAAATGAATAAATAATTAAATGGAGCAATCAAAATATTGTGAAACAATATTATTACGTCTCAGAAATTATAGTCGAAATTTTCGAGCGGCTTATTAGTTAACTCTATAGTCAATCAAGATTCTTCTTCTCGTGAAAAATTTTGATCTAATACTCGCAATGGTTTCCACACTTTAAACACTTACGAGTTTTTGTTTGGAAAGCATGCAATTTCGTAAACTACTTTTTTATAGATATTGGCAAATCGGAGAAACACCGGTACTAGTGAAAACAATGTATAGTTACTTTTTTTTTTCAAGTCACGTCTCCTCCTAAATGTGACGTTTGCAAACTCATCGATCAATCGTGGTAATGAAGATACAAGGGAAGGGCAGTCTAAAAAATCGTTCTCTTCCGCAGTGAATAGCGTTGCAAAATTTCCCCGAAATATACGAGTGATTATTGGGAATTGAATTATATTCAGCGAGAAACTATCAAACGGTAAATAAATCAAAGGCACAAAACGCGGCCAAATACCTATCTAGCACTAAGAGCGCTCTTTTGGCACGGATCGAGAGGCGCGATGAGAATTTAACAATNAAAAATGAAGAGGGCTTTTTCCAACTGGTGCAGAAAGACTAGTGCGTCATTTCGGTCCCTTCGGCGCGGATCAAATGATAACCAGCCGAGTATTAAGGTAAGCCTAGTAAGTTATTAGAAATATGAATAGAATTTTTGCCTTTTCGTACTTACTCGCTCTCCAATGTAGAGTACAGTCCGATTTTCGAGCCATCGGTGCTTATGCTCTTCATTTTTCTTCCTGCGCACTTTTTTGTTCTCCGCTGTTCTATTACCCTAATTAAAGCGAAAATTTCACACCCATGTACGTACAGCATTGCTTTTTTTCTCGCGCGTGTACAAACAATTCATTGAATTCGGCGCATGTGCGATTTTCTCATAGAGAAATCGAAGATAAACATAATTTCAAGTCGAGGAAACCGGCGCGATGAAATTGAATCTTTCCCTCGGGACCGAACGATAGGCGCTGCGTGTACTTGCAGCAGAGAAAAGAATACAGAGAAAGTCGAATTTCCCTGCTCGTATGCGTGACGCATTTTACATTTGAAATTTTGCTGATTACAGTTTCGGGGTGCCAGGAAAAGCCCTTTTTCTTTCCATCTCTCACATATATGCTCACATATATGCACAAATGAAATTTTCTGCTTGAAAATATTAAGAGTTTAGTCCATGTTAATTTATTCTAGCAGTGCATTTATTATTTACGTAAATAATTACGGGCAGGCAACAAAATAATCTGCTATATACGGGACACGATGTCTCATTAGTTTTAAATAAATTTTTGAGACACGCACAGTGTAGAGTCTATACATGTTTGTCTACTGTGCATATTAGATTATAATGGAATTTTAATTTAGTTGAGGGTTATTAGTAATCTCCTTTATCCAGAGCACTAAATCTTCCTTTCTTTTTCCACAAGTTGCACCTCCTTAGAAAATGATTTTTCTGTTAATCTTATGAGTTAAAAAAAATTATTAAAAACATTGCAAATTAATTATCACTTGTGTATTTTCACAATTGGCTAATAAAACATGTAACCATTTTTAGGTNAAAATAAAAAAAAAAAAAAAAAAACCAAACAAACAATCAAGGAGGGGATGCAGGTTTCACCATTGGCCGCACGCCCCGAGACTTTATTTATAACTAATTAAAAAGTCGCTGAGTCGGCTGGACGCTGTAAACGCAGTGCGCGCGGGCGTGCCGAGCCATTCTCTCGCTTTTGGTCCCGGAGGCCCGCGAAATACACCGATGCTCGCCATTGTAGTCGGTGCAGCTGATTTACGGCCGATTTCGCGACAAACGTGCAATACACACATACACATTGTACATATACGACAAGGGACTCTTGTGCGTGTATGTGAGCGAGTGCGCGTGCAGCTTTTCGAGTGGGTGCAGCAGAGGGAGAGACAGCAGGGGCTGTGTTAAATTGTCGTGTTACGAGGTGAGAAGGATGAGTAACTGGAATCAGTTGAACGTCGAGCACGCGACCAGCGCGATGTCGCGCGGCGACGATCTGCAGATCCGCACTGGTAGCATTAGGAGGAAAAAGAACACGGTAATTGTGGGCGCGACATTGACACTGTCGGATCGGACGATTGGGTTTTTTTTTTCCCCCCTCATGAATAAAGTTACGGTAATACTTGTCCGGATGCTTGAAAAAAATTGCTTTTCGATGATATGTGCAGTATTTTGAAGGAACGTTTTATGTTGAAAAATATTATTCGAAAATTTTGTACATCATTTAAAGAATAATTAACGTATGTCTGATTTTTTTTTCTTCTACTTTTCGCACGAAAATTAAGTAAAAATTTAACAAAAGCAACTTTTTGAATTGCTATTGGTTACTTGATTAAATTCGCTGTACTCAACAACTTGAAGAAAATTTTACGAATCCCTGACTATAAGTATACTTCATAAGTATCAACGCAATCGACGACTTCCCCTGCACTTTTAATGATTGTCTCCTGTTGGAAAATGAATAAATAATTAAATGGAGCAATCAAAATATTGTGAAACAATATTATTACGTCTCAGAAATTATAGTCGAAATTTTCGAGCGGCTTATTAGTTAACTCTATAGTCAATCAAGATTCTTCTTCTCGTGAAAAATTTTGATCTAATACTCGCAATGGTTTCCACACTTTAAACACTTACGAGTTTTTGTTTGGAAAGCATGCAATTTCGTAAACTACTTTTTTATAGATATTGGCAAATCGGAGAAACACCGGTACTAGTGAAAACAATGTATAGTTACTTTTTTTTTTCAAGTCACGTCTCCTCCTAAATGTGACGTTTGCAAACTCATCGATCAATCGTGGTAATGAAGATACAAGGGAAGGGCAGTCTAAAAAATCGTTCTCTTCCGCAGTGAATAGCGTTGCAAAATTTCCCCGAAATATACGAGTGATTATTGGGAATTGAATTATATTCAGCGAGAAACTATCAAACGGTAAATAAATCAAAGGCACAAAACGCGGCCAAATACCTATCTAGCACTAAGAGCGCTCTTTTGGCACGGATCGAGAGGCGCGATGAGAATTTAACAATTACCAAGCCGAAGCAATACTTTTCATCGCGCCAAACGTCAAAATTGACATAAATAACGAAAAATCAATCGCATCGGTACTTTTCGTATATCTCCAAACAATCGGCGCGTCTCGACGTAAGATGAACTCGTCAAAGGGAGACGGTTCCCAAAAATAGACCTGTCGGGCTGTCACGCCCGTCATCATACAGTACACGTACAATGGGATTGCACGATCGGTCCAGGCTGCAGTACGCGCTGCACTCGCGTAGCTCGTGTAGGTGCGCGTGTTTTAATTTAAACCTCCAACCGAGTCTCGCGGTGTATATTTAGTCCGTAGTCGCGCACGCGCAACCCAAACACGGCTTTACTCGCAAAATCTGCCCAATAATTACAGTTTCACCGTCAACGGGTAAAATCATCGATTTCCCCGTGATTACGTGATCGAGGTGTTTGGGTTGAAGACAAAGGGGCTCGAGTGTTTTGCCGGGGAAAATGGAGGGTTTGGACGTTTGGGGCCAGATAGCAGTTGAGACCTCGCAGATGTACGTCTCCGAGGGCGGCGTCATTAAAAGTCGGTTCGCCAGCACCGTGAGTAATTTCCGCCGAAGGAGTATACGGACCGATGGGCATTTTCTTCTCCCTCCGATTCCTCCCTATATCTACATGTACTTTGGTTTTTTTTTTCCCATATATGAATTGTCAAACTGTTCGCAGACGATAGAAAAGCTGCCGGACAAGGTGATACTGAACGTGTTCAACTACCTCTCCCATCGAGAGATATGTCGGATGGCCACGGTTTGCAAGCGCTGGCGGCAGATCGCCTACGACTCGAAGCTGTGGTCGCACGTTTCTCTGAGGCCGGAAATCAGCGGCCTTCACGTCAATTCCCTTGAATTTCTCCTTCAATTGATCAGGTGAGCCGCCCGATTATTATTATGGTAGTAGTATCAGTTACATTGCATAATTTTTTTTTTTTTTTTTTTTTATGACGTGTCGATTGATCGACTATTATTTCAAACAAAAAGTTACCTCGTGACAATAGAGGAACTTGGAGACAACATATTACACCATTTTGATTATAAATGACACATTTTTTGTCTACTAATTCCAAAATATACAACATCGTGTAACTAATTTTATCCATCACGACGTTTTTGTATACAGATTGTCCGGGTGTTGATTCGATCAACGAAAATTTTACTTTTCCACATAGAAATGCTTATTATTTAACCCATAATTCTTATTATTTAAAGCATAATTTTTACTGTTAAAAATAATAATTTTTCCCATTTTTGTCATTTTGCATTCGATTTACTGTGCAGAATGGTAATTTTTGCTGGAATTTCTTTATAGTTTTTATTGTTTTTTTTTTTGTTTTCTCAGTGTAGTGCATTATTGCCGAACAAAAATTAGTGGTTGAACGAAAAAAAAAAAAAAAAAAAAAACAATCCTTACTAACTGCGTCGTGTCCCACACAGCAATCGGTTCGCGGCGTCGTTGCGCTACATCGAGCTACCAATCGAGCTGATAACCCACACGGTGCTGCACGAGTTGTCAAACAAGTGTCCGAACCTTACGCACATGCTGCTCGACTTTTCCACGGCCATGCAGCTCCACGACTTTTCCGAGATGCAGACGTTCCCTGCCAAACTTAAGTACATGTGCATCTGCTTGTCCGAGGTCATATTCATGGAGGGCTTTATGCGCAAGATTTACAACTTCATCAACGGCCTCGAGATCCTTCACCTCATAGGTTTGTTGCAGCTGAATCTGTGGGCGGGGGGGAGGGGCGGAGATTTGTTAAAGTTAGAAATAGCCTGAGGACTCTTGTTTTTATACTAGTCACAGTTATTCGAAGGAAACGCCAACCTTCAAAATTACAAAGCTCGCGATAAGTCACTGTCTTAAGGTGGCTTGGGTGATTTTTACTGAAATCATAAAAATCGCTGAAATCTCGAAACAATGTAAATAAAGTGTACCTAATTAATTTGCCATAAAAAATACTAGGGTCAACTACTTAATTTTACAGAAAAACGGTACCATAAAATCATCAATTTAACACGCAGTCTTGCGGGATTTATCACTAAAACGACTATAACTTAAAAAGTGAATGACAAACCTTTAGAGTAATCTTTTAGATTCGTGAAAATTATATGTAAACCATTTCGATTTTAAGAAAATAAGGAGAAAAGTGATTTGTCGTCTTCTGCGCATGCGCATATTAAAATGATGAGTTTTTATTATTATTATTATTCTTTTTATCGTTATTTTCTAACTTTTTAGGCCAACAAAACCCTTGAATTGGAATATGTAATTTAAATATTCAATAATCATGACATTGAACAAAAAAATTTTTTTATACTTAGAACCTTAAAGGGCCCTCGCTTGGTACGGCACCTATAATACCCAAGCCACCTTAATCACTGGAATTTCCTCATTCTCGTGAATGAACTTTGAAAAAAAAAAACGTAAGAGCAGTGGTCAACTTTCTAATTTCAAGTACACTTTGTTACCTCGGTAACCCCGCAGGGTTGGGGAGCAGAGGGCACTGACTTGGGGCGGGGTTTTCAGGCACTTACGAAAAGATCGAGGAGGAAGAGGAGGAGATCTACGAGGTGATAAACGTCCACAAGCTCAAATCGGCGACGCCAAACCTCCGGGTGATCAACCTGTACGGCATCAACTTCGTGGACGACTCGCACATAGACGCCTTCTCGTCCAACTGCATACAGCTCGAGTGCCTGGCCGTGAACTTTTGCTCCAAGGTCACGGGCTCGACCATGAAGACGCTCTTCCAGAGGAGCCGGAGACTGCGGTGCCTGCTCATGCAAGGAACCAGTGAGTATTTTGGGCCCTCGTTTCGCCTCACAAACGACCCGCACATTGCACGATTGAAAAATGGTATCGTCCGTACTTTCAGATCTGCAGAGCGAGCACGTGATGCAGGTCGAGTGGGAGAAGTCGAGCATCCAGGAGCTGGACGTGACGGCGACCGACCTCACGACCGAGTGCCTGATCGACATGCTGTCGAGGATCCCGGGGCTGCGGTTCTTGAGCGCCGGCCAGCTGAACGGCTTCAACGACAGCGTGCTCAAGGCGTGGATGGAGCTCGGGAACCCGCGCAACCTCATAGCCCTTGACCTGGACAGCTCGGACAATCTCAGCGACGACTCGTTGCACAAGTTTCTCTCGCGGCACGGCCATCAGCTCTGGGCCATCGCTTTGTCGGGTATGCCGCACATCACCGATCAGCTTTGGCAGAGCGTCTTGCCGATTCTGACCAATGCCAAGTAAGGATCGTTTGTGCGAGTACATAATATAATATACATACTAATCACAACCCTTCCAAGACGATTTGTTCTCGCCAAGTGGCTCCTTTGTGTTTTAAATATCAAAGATATTGGGTTTGTTATTTCTACATTACCATAGGTTACCTTGTTTGACAACAGTATAGTAAAACAACATATAGATAAAAAAATTATGATATAATCAACAAACTGACGAAAGTTTTATACTCGATACATGGTATAGTGGGTTATAAGTGGTATCTTAATTGCTTTATTTTGAGGGGACGCGCTTAAATTGATAGAGATATCTATTTGATACAATGACTAATTTTTTTCGAAAAAAATTTAAGTCGGCTAATTTCATGTCAAAGTGTATATTATTACTTACTTGCTGGATATCTAGACACATGTGACAAGGAGTGTTAAGGTATAAGTTATTGCACAAATGAAACCGATGGATCTCACTGAGCTTCTTTTGAATCGTACTTAATGTTATCTCTCAGTTGGTCTTAAAATTTTTATTTTTATTTTATATTTTGACTAGAGTATACAATAAGATACATAAAACAGTAGCAAAAAATTTTGCGTCTGTTATCCTGCAGAGATAAATTTAATTATTTTTAATTTTAGTATGCCTCATTTATTATTTCTAGACACAGTTTTTATTTTAGTAGTTTGGTTATAATTACAATTGAGGGGCTAAAAATGGACAGGACACGTAAGTAGAAGGATATCCAAGAATTGTGCAAAGAGATTAATTTTAAAGGTAAATAAATTAATTCGAAAGTAGTATCAGCTTACGTAGGATGATTAAATATCTTTTTAAAGTTGTAGTTTCTTCATTTGACTTTTATCTTCAAAGGTAAAATACAACTGCAATTTTGAAAGGTTACTAAAATTGATAAGAGCGTAATTCGCTATGATTTAAAAAATTATGACCAAAATGCTTTAAAATATAATTTGTATGGATTTAAAACTTAGTAAACTTAATGTCTAATGTACAGAGATAATTGTAGGCAAAGCTTTATTATAAAATTATAACCGATAAATTAATGAAAAAACATTTGACCGCAATTTTTAATTTTGACAGTCGTATTACCTTTAACTATTGGACGCATAATTAGAATCACTGACTCAGCGATAAACAAGTACATTTTGTACAAAAAATCTCTCATACTCCAAAAATCAAAATTATGCACTGAAAAGTTCATACAACTAAAATTTCAAAATTGATAACTTCGTAATTTAAACTTATCTTGATCCTAAAACTCATGACCCCTTCATTTAACTTACAAAAATCCCATGAACGGCGCAATTTGAGCTTACAAACTTATTTTCCCAATTAATCTGAACTTTGTATGACTAAGAACTATCAATCGAGAGCAAAAACATTTGCAACTTGCAATAATTTTATTAATGTTATTGCGGATACATTATATTAATACTGTTTTTTATATTTCAAAGAATCATTATCATGGGTACTCAAGAAAGGCTAGGTGTCAACATCCATGTAGATCAGCTCATGGATGGGATAGCCAACAACTGTCCGAACTTGGAGCGCCTGGAATTACGCTGGGATCCAGAAAATTTGAGGTTTTCCGACAAAAGTCAAAAGGCCATTGATATTCTGAGAGTTAAATGCATAAAACTCAGATGCTTAGCCCTAAGGTAAACAAAATTACAAATTCCACAGGAAAATAAATATTTGTATCCATAAATAACAAATTAAATTAAATTGTATTCAACCACTCAATCGTGTCCTGATAATTGTGTGTATTTTCAATTTCAGCGACGGAAGATATTACGAGATCGTTAAAGCGAACTTCGAGCGCGCCGATCGAAATACCGTAGTACGCACGACAACGTGCTGCCGAGTGTCCAACTACTACCTGTTACAAAACTACAAGGATTTGATTTTCAACTGATGAAAATCCATGGGTTACGAAAAATCCAAGTGCGTTTGTTTATAGTGTTTCATTTGTTCATACTATGTTTAATGGGCCGTGTCAAAAATTTTATACATAAGGAACGATGTTGGTTGCTTTGTACAGTTTCATTACGCCAAAAGTGGAACTTGTAGATATATTTTTATACATAGAAAAAAAGGACGAAATTGGATACCTCATATAAATATTTAATACTACTTTGACAATAAAAATTGGAAATGGACAAGACTAGCAACTTTTCCGTGAGAATGATATGTGTATATGACTAGCTTCTGTTGTAAACGTGTTAACACTTTTCTCTAAAACTTCGATATTATTTTTTTTTAAGGTACTTATTTGGCCTGGATAAAAAAATCAATAAAGTTCATACTGATAAAAATTGATTTTTTCCAAGCTGCGATACCATTTCACAATAGCGTAATACTCAAGTATAAAAAATGTTAGTCAAATATTTATTTTTCTAATTGCACTCAACAAAACATTCAAGTTAATTTTTTTAATTCATACATCACCGTGGTACACTGTGTGTGTGTAGACAATAATCGATTTACCATACTGAAAATAATTATGAATCTGTATGATTTTAACTTTAAATAAAAATAATATTGATT